TTAATTACACTTTTTCTTTAATGAATTGTTTGTTTTTCATTTTTAGTTATGTGAAATCCTAGCTAAAGAAAAGGACACTATAAGAAAGGAGTATTGGAGATATATTGGAAGATCTCTTCAAAGCAAACACAGCACAGAAAGTGATCCACCAACAAATGTACAGCAATAACACCATCTAGAAGAACTTGATAGACTGCTTTTATTTTTTTAAGAGACTCTAATGCAGGAGTTTAAAACTACCCTGTGCCTGTGGTGTAAAACATGCATTGCACAGATACTGCTTTTTAACAAGAACTAAGTACGATGTTCCTTGGGTGCTGCTGCCATGCAGACTAGCTCTAAGTAATTCGATTATTTTATAGCAAAGTAATTGGGGGGAGGGAGAAGGAAAAAAGTCCCATATAGGAACTTTTGTGGTCTTATCAACATTTACTTTAATCCCTTAGCGTCAACTCCTCCCTGAATGGTATACGCATCAGGATTTGCAGCATAAATGATAACTTATATGTAATGGATATGAGGTAGCTTAAATTTTGGTTTAGGAAGCAAGGAATGCAATTGTTACTCAGAGCTGCTATGCCACACTCACAATATCTTGCTATTACTGTAACCAACTAATGCCAAAAGAATGGTTTTGTAATAAAATTATAGATGTATTCTAAACAATGCCATAGTAGTTTGACTTTTTTCTTTTCTTTTTTTAACTTTATTTTTATTGTTGACACTATTATGTCCCCGTTTTGTCCCCTTTTACCCATCTCCACCCAGCCCCCGCGCCCTTCCCTCTGGCCATCACCACACTGTTGTCTGTGTTTATGAGTTAAACATATACATTTTTTAGCTAATCCTTTCACCTTCTTTCATCCAATCCCCCCTCCCCTGACAGCGGTCAGAATGTTCTATGTATCCATGCCTCTGTTTCTGTTTTGTTCATCACTTTATTTTGTTCATTAGATTCACATATAAGTGAGATCATATGGTATTTTTCTTTCTCTGACTGGCTTATTTCACTTAGCATAATAATCTCTAGGTCCATCCATGCTGTTACAAAAGGTAAAAGTCCCTTTTTTACGGCCGAGTAGTATTCCAATGTGTAAGTGTACCACAGCTTTTTTAATCCACTCATCTACTGATGTGCACTTGGGCTCTTTCCAGATCTTGGCTATTGTAAGTAATGCTGCTATGAACATAGGGGTGTATATATTCTTTCGACCCAGTGTTTGGGGATTTTTAGGGTATATTCCCAGAAATAGTTTCCTTTTTTAAAATAGCATTTAACTATATATAAGGAACATTTTCCCAGCTTAGAAAAGCAATTGAGGGAGAAAATCTATATAAAAGCATAATATGGAAATCTACCTGACAGTGGAATGACCGTTTGCTATGATGCACACTGACCACCAGGGGACAGACGCTCAACGCAGGAGCTGCCCCCAGCCCTCCCCGCACCCCCCCCCCCCCATTGGGGCCTGCTGGCCAACCTCTTCGATCCACCCCCTGGCTGGCAGGCTCCAATCGCCTGATGGGGAACAGGGAACCGGGGTGGGTCCCAGCGGATGTGGGTGGTGCCAGGCCAAGGTGGATGCGAGCGAGCAGGGCCCCAATTGCTCAGCTGGTTGCCCCACACACACACAGGGCGACCAGCGGCAGGGTTTGGGGCTGGTGAGCAGGAGGAAACAGCCAGCTTCTCAGTTCTTCCCCCTGGCTGCCCGATGGGGAATGGGGAACCAGGGTGGGTGGCCGCGGACGCTGGTGGCTGCCGGCAGCCAGGGAAAATGAGCCCTCATCGCAGGCCAGGCCTAGGGACCCTACCCATGCACGAATTTCATATGCCAGTCCTCTACTGTTGACATAAAACCGTAGAAACCAGAAACATGGTTATGCTTTAGGAACTGTTATTAAAGTTTGAATTGGTCAGTTCTTGACTACATGTAACAAAATTGACTAAAGCTAGTTTAAACCCAAAGGTTTTTTTGTTTTGTTTTTTTAATATATTTTACTGATTTTTTACAGAGAGGAAGGGAGAGAGATAGAGAGTTAGAAACATCGATCAGCTGCCTCCTGCACATCTCCCACTGGGGATGTGCCCGCAACCCAGGTGCATGCCCTTGACCGGAATCGAACCTGGGACCTTTCAGTCCGCAAGCCGACGCTCTATCCACTGAGCCAAACCGGTTTCGGCCCCAAAGGTTTTATTAAGGTATATAGGTAGCTCACAGAATAATTGCCTGATCTTCCCAGAAATACATCCCAAAGCCACACTACAGAACTGGACCATCAAGGTTTTTTTTGCCTGTGCCTAGGATCAGGAACCTGCTGAATGATCCTGTCCACCTCTGCCACATTTCATGTGAGCACATCTGCTTCCCTTCCCATGTAATGCAGCTCCAAAGTAAAGGCTCACTTTAGTGCATCTAGGATGTTATTTAGGAACGAACTTTAATGACATCAAAAACTCAACTGAAAAGGAATCTGGGAAATGTAGTTCACAGCTTTCCAGCCTATGCAAGTCAGGAAGACGTTGGAGTGTTAAGCTAGTTCTCTACCTGCACATATTTACACCTTTATCAATAAAGAATTTTCAGCCCTAACCGGTTTGGCTCAGTGGATAGAGCGTCGGCCTGCAGACTGAAAGGTCCCAGGTTCGATTCCGGTCAAGGGCATGTACCTTGGTTGCAGGCACATCCCCAGTAGGGGGTGTGCAGGAGGCAGCTGATCGATGTTTCTCTGTCATCGATGTTTCTAACTCTCTATCCCTCTCCTTTCCTCTCTATAAAAAATCAATAAAATATATATATAAAAAAAGAATTTTCAATGTTCAAAGCAGTAAACTACAACTAAGGAAATTGTAAAGAGTAGAAAAATTATCTCTTCTCAAGAATTCAGAAAGACAATATTTTAATACTTTCTGGAGAAAATATATTTATGGCATTTTATTTTTAACTAGAGGCCCGATGCATGAAATTAGTGCAAGAGTAGACCTTCCTCCCCCACCCCCCCCTCCCGCTGCTGGCACCGGCTTCCCTCTGGCAACCAGGACCCAGGCTTTCCTCGCAGCCCTGGCTTTGTCTGGAAGGACATCCAGTCTAATTAGCATATCATGCTTTTATTATAGATATTTTCCATGTTTTTGTTGTTTTTAGAATCCATAATCTCTGATTTTTATTAAAATTGTCAAAGTATCATCCTATGTAGATAATTTCAAAAGTTTCATCACATACAAAAACTATGAGAAGTTTTCATAAGATAACACTTACTCTCAGAAACTATCATATTAATGTCCCCAAATTGATAGGACTCAAAGCTCATAGAGACTATTTAATAAAATGCCTAACAGCAGTTTACCAGTTTACATTGAGAACTGTAACAGAAGCAGACCAAACCGTTACATCAGCCTAAACCAGTGGTTCTCAACCTTCCTAATGCCGCGACCCTTTAATACAGTTCCTCATGTTGTGGTGACCCCCAACCATAAAATTATTTTCGTTGTTACTTCATAACTAATTTTGCTACTATTATGAATCGTAATGTAAATATCTGATATGCAGGATGTATTTTCATTGTTACAAATTGAACATAAAGCCCTGACCGGTTTGGCTCAGTGGATAGAGCATCGGCCTGCAGACCGAAGGGTCCCGGGGTTCGATTCGGTGAAGGGCGTGTACCTTGGTTGCAGGCACATCCCCAGTAGGGGGTGTGCAGGAGGTAGCTGATTGATGTTTCTAACTCTCTATCCCTCTCCCTTCCTTTCTGTAAAAACTCAATAAAAATATATTTTAAAAAAAACAAAAAACAAATTGAACATAAAGCATAGTGATTAATCACAAAAACAATATCTAATTACATACGTGTTTGCCAATGGTCTTAGGCGACCCCTGTGAAAGGGTCGTTCAACCCCCAAAGGGGTCGTGACCCACAGGTTGAGAACCGCTGGCCTAACCACTTTACATTTTCTGTCTGAAGTTTAACAAAGTGACAATTTATCAAAAAGATACTTTGTGAGCATGGAGTCAGTCAGTTTCCAAGAACTCAGATGTGGCTCTTTTCCATGTGTGTTCTCTCCAAGTGTCACAGAGTCCTTTGAGGGAGATAATTATTGTATATGGGGAATCTTTATTACTGCCCACTCACCTGCTGCATACTAACTTGGACTACCCCTCCATTTCAAACTTAAGATGTCTTCTCCCTACTCGATCTGCTCTGTTCTTCCACCTGAAACCCACTTAAAACCTTTGTTCAGTCAGTTTTTTTTTTTAAGTTTTTAATATATTTTATTGTTGTTTTTTTTACAGAGAGGAAGGGAGAGGGATAGAGAGTTAGAAACATCAATGAGAGAGAAACATCACAGTCCCAACTGGGGATGTGCCTGCAACCAAGGTAAAGGACCCTTCAGTCTGCAGGCCTACGCTCTATCCACTGAGCAAACCGGTTAGGGCTGTTCAGTCAGTTCTGCTAGAACGTGATGCTGTGTTCCTACATCACATGGCCATGCAAAATCACGAATAAAAACCAGGGGGCTTATGGTAAAAATGGGGTTAGAGATACAACGCTCAAAAATGTAATCAGTTAAAATTTAAAAAAAAAGGAAAATGGCAGTACAGTTTTTCACTTTATGGCTGTTTACCTTGGAAAACACCTGAAGCTTGCTGTGGAGGTGGGCATTGGAAGGGTTGCAGCTTGTGAGTTATTGCGAAGTGTTGGAGAATTAGCCGAAATCGATTGGAAAGTTGCAACACCAGGTGTGGATGCATGTGGCTCAAACACACGGGATGAATTGAAGACACTGTCAGAGGTGAGGGGAGTGCACGTGTGTGAGATCATTCCTGTGCAGTGAGCTCAGCTGGTGCAGTTTTCTGATTCACCTGTTGTTTCTCCAGGATGAAATCATACACACAAATGGGAAATTACACAATACTCAAATGATTTCCCAATACATCAAACATGCTGAAACATATATATACATATATATATATATATTTAAATGTATTATAGCAGAACTGACTGCATTTAACTTTATTCATTTCTTTCCTTAATTTCCTGTCTTGTCAGTTTCATCCTGATTACTTTTCTGTTCAAAGTTCTCATGTTCAAAGTTTCTCATATCTCACCCATTTTCTTTTTTTAAAAAATTATTTAATAGGCTTTTTTCCCATCCCAGGGCTCCTCCTTTGGGGCGTTTGAATGCGGGAAGGTCCGCTTTTCTGCTCCGACTTTCCCTTCCAACCTGCGGTTCTCAACCTGCAGGGCATCAGCATCGCCCAGAGGCCTGGCTGAGCAGACTGGTAGACTCCGCCCTGGGATGGCGCCGAGAATGTTGGCGTCTAATGGTTTCCCTGGAGATGGGAAGCATCAGCACTGGGTCTGAGGGCCACCCTTTGTAAACCGCTGACCGGGCCCTCTCTGCCGTACCTAGCACCGGGTTGCGCGTCTGGTCTACGACAGTGATAGGTCAACACATCCGTCCTCATAGGTTTGTGGAGAAGAAGCTAGAGGAGGAGTCTGACCCCGACAGTGCACGGGGTCTGGAAGCATCGGGCCTCCAGGTGTCCGGCGGGCGGTGGACACCAGGGGGCGCCAGGGAGCAGCCTCGGGGTCGTCCTGCCGGGCCCGTTTCCGGCTGCGCAGGCGCAGGAGGCCGCGAGCCCTGCCGGGGCCGCAGGTAGGCGCTGCGCTTGGGATCGGGATGGGGGCACTGCGGGGGGTCGTGGCTGTGCACCGGGGGGCGAGGCGAGGTGCTGCGGGGCGGCCGCGGAGCGCAGCTCGGCCTCCCGCGGGGTCTGGCCCTGGCCCGGCCCGCGTCCCCCAAGCCAAGCTCGGGCAGCCCCGCCGCGCCTTTTGGGTGGCCCGGCCCCCGTCCCCCATGCCAAGCCCGGGCAGCCCCGCCGCGCCTCTTGGGTGGCCCGCCCCGAGTCCTACCGAAGGCCACGCGGGCCCCGGGCAGCCGCGTCCACGCGCGGGCCCCTCCGCGTCCTGCCCGACGAGCGCTGGACATGAAACACCAGGCTGTACCGTTGGTCCTTCTCCCGGAGTTTATTCTGCACGCGATCATTCGTGCCAGCCGCCTCCAAGCTCTGTGTTAGGCGTAAACATATGCTGCTCTTTTTTAAAAAGCAGGATTTAGCCATTTCATTTATTGACTTACTTTTTTTTTTTTTTTTTTTTTTTTTTTTTTTTTTTTTTTTTGAAGAGAGAGAGGAAAGAAGGAGGATATAGAGAAAGAGAGAAACATGGGTCGGTTGCCTTTCCTATTCGTCCCAACCGGGATCGAACCTGCAACCTAGGTATGTGCCCGGACCAGAACCCGCATCCCTTTGGTTCAGGGGATCACGCTCCAACCAACTGGCCACCGGCCGGGGCTGGCTGTCTCATTAGTGGTCCTGTCTTCTCCACCTCTTACCTTTACTATAGAACCTTAAAGCTAACTCAGCATCCGGAATGTTTAACACAATTATTTTAATTAAGGGCTTCATTCTAAATTGTATTGAGTGACATTCATCCCTGTCTCCTCTGGTTGTATAAGATATTTATTTTGTAAATTGGTAAAAACTGATTTTGTTCCATTGCCCTCCCTCCCTCCCTCCCTCCCTTTTCTTTTTTCAGTTAAGCTGAGTGTAGAGCAGTGATTCCCAGTCTTTTCCTGGTCTGCCAGCTTTTTCCTATCAGTGTCAGGAATCCTTTGTGCCTGAACAGTGCCTGCATTCTCCTACCCAGCGGGCCCCAACCGTTATTCCTTAACTTGCTGGGTATTTTTCACTACCCGTAACATTCTATGTTTTTCTGCTTATTTCTGGACAGGGAAGTTCCTCGGCGACATGGTCTTATCCCAGGCTCGGGGCATCCTACTCCAGAAATATGACTTTAAAAGAAAAAAGCCCATCGGGTATTGAGGTGGGCTAAAGCCTTTTTTAAGAAATGGGCTCATGTGATGAAAATAAAACTCCTGTATGGGAATTAAGTGCACCAGGGATTCTTAAACTTTAGTGTGCGTCTGAGTCACCCGGAGGACTTGTCAACACAGATTTCTGGGCCCCACCTCAGAGTTTCTGATTCAGTAGGTCTGGAGCGAGGACTCAAGAACTCGAATTTCTCACAAGTTCCGAGGGGATGCTGCAGGCCCAGGGACCCAGTTTGAGAACTGCTGACCGACACCTACTTGTGGAGGGTGATTTCCTGGGAGGGAGCAGTGGAGGATTGGGCGGGGTCCACAGGGGCTTCAACTGTATATGTAATATTTTTATACCTTTAAAAAAGATCTTTAAACATGATGCAGTTACCTGACAAAGCTGAATAGATGTCCATAATCTTATTTTTTGGTTTTCTCTGTGCTTGAAACATTTCAGGAAAGAAAAATAGATCCTATTTGCTGTGTGGCGAGTGGATTGAAAAGGAGAGCGTAGGAGACCATGTAGGAAACTGTTGCAGAAGCCCAGGTAAGAGATGCCGGTGGCTTAGACCAGCCTGGGGAGCAAGAACGGGGAGAAATGGGCAGATCTGAGAGCCATTTGGGCGATAGAATTGACTGTATGTGGTGACTGGTTGGTTTAGAGCATGGGTGGGAAACCTTTTTCCTGCCAAGGGCCATTTGGATACTTATAACATTATTTGCTTAATATAATTCACTTAATATAAATTTATGTTGCTCTGAAAAAAGCTCCTAGATTTATTGAATTTAATAATCTATACTAATAAGAGGGTAATATGTTAAGTAGACCGGGAGACCTTCCAGATGTCCTTCTGGACAAAGCCATGGTGGCGGGGCCGAGGCAGAGGCGGTTAGAAGTGAACAAGCCGGTAGGGGAGGGCAGTTGGGGGCAATCAGGCCAGCAGGGGAGGGCAGTTGGGGGCAATCAGGCCAGCAGGGGAGGGCAGTTGGGGGTGATCAGGCCGGAAGGGGGGATCAGTTGGGGGCGATCAGGCTGGCAGGCAGAGTGGTTAGGGGCGATCAGGCAGGCAGGCACATGAGCGGTTAGGAGCCAGCGGTCCCAGATAGTGATCCCTGTGGGATGGGGCCTAAACCATCAGCCGGACATCCCCGGAGGGGTCCCAGATTGGAGAGGGTGCAGGCCAGGCTGAGGGACACCCCCCCCTCCCCGTGCACAAATATAGTGCACCGGGCCACTAGTAAATAATAAATGCAGTTGCCTTGGTGGGCCATACCTTCCCCACCCGTGGTTTAGAATCTCCTGTTTTGTGACTTAAGGGAACGGGTGTGTTGTGTGCCCGTCACAGAGAGGGAACCCTGGAGAGGGGACATGCTGGGGATAGAGAGACCCATCCCAGACCTTGGAGAGCCAGCTGAGTGACGCCTAGGAGGAAGATCTGGCCCACGGTAGAGACTTGGAATTGGTGTTTATGTGGCATGAAAGCCACGTTAATGGGCGAGATTACAGAGAGGGAACCATAGAATGCGAAGATGGCCTGCAGCAGACCCACAGGAGAATCCACACCTACGCTGGGCTTGGCCAACTGCTGCCCACCACCTGTTTCTGTACGACCCGCGAGCTAAGAAACGTCAAAAGAATAATCTTTTGTGACAATGAAAACTATGTGAAATGCAAATGTCATTGTCCATAAATAAAGTTTTGTTACAATAAAGCCATGCGCATTTGTATATGTCGTATTCGGGGCTGCTCTGGTGATGGGGTTGAGCAGCTGTGGCCTCTCATCCCGGGCACTGCTGCTCGGTGCACCAGGAGTCACAGTGATGTGGTTACCTCAGTGTCCGCTTCCGCCCCGCAGCTAAATATTTATTATCGGGACGTTTACAGAAAAGGTTTGCTGGTCCCTGACCTGAGGTCTAAATGAGACACTTGGTCAGCTGTCAGTGTTGCCGAGGAGAGCTGGCAGCTGTTTGACTCGTTTCTTTCCGAGCATCTTCCGAGGATCAGGACTGGTGGGAGAAGCTCCAGAGCCTGGGAGGCCCGAGTGGTAAAAGTCATCAGAGTTTCATCTGAAGCCCCTGAGGATGGCAGCATGGGCCGGAGAGAAAGATCTGGGCCTGGGATCTTGATGAGAAAGGGGAGCAAGCAACCGTCAGAACGTTGCTGGGCATAGCTGGAAGACAGGCGGTGGTGTGAGCAGATGGCATTGATTCAAGAAAAGCAGGTTGTTGCCCTGGCCGGGTGGCTCAGTTGGTTGGAGCGTCGTCCTGTATACCAAATGGTTGTGTGTTCGATTCCCCGTCAGGGCACATACCTAGGTTTTGGGTTTGGTCCCCAGTTGGGGCACATATGGGAGGTAACTGATCTCTCTCTCTCTCTCTCTCTCTCTCTTTTTCTCCTTCCCTTCTTTCCCTCCTTCCTCTCTCAAAAATCAATTAAAAATTATGTCCTTGAGTGAGGATTAAAAAGAAAAAGGAAAGGAGGTTGTTGAGCGATGCTGGAGCAGTTCAGGAGAGCCAGGGTTTACTGGGCACCTCTTACAGCAGGGATAAGCAAAGCAGCCTTTTCTTCAGATAATTAGAAAAAGCACACAGAATTGTAGAAGAACCCATTATTTCTAAAACTTCCTGCTTGGAGGACCAATGTCACTGTGCTGACCCTTGACCTGCAGCTTCCCTGGCCTGGGTGACTGGAAGAATACAATTGTCATTTATTGAGATTGTGAGCACTGAAAACAGCTATTTGGGGGGCAAGGGAGGAAGCAGGTGTCGAGTTTGGGAAGTAGGCAATTATGAATAATATGGCTATAAGCATTCATCTACAGGTGTTTATATGAATGTATGTTTTCTTGGGTATATACCGAGCAGTGGATTTACTGGGTGATATGGCAACATTTTGTTTAGCTTTAAGGACCTGCCAGACTGTTTTCCACAGTGGCTGCACCATTTTACATTCTCACCAGCAATGCATGAGGGTTCCTGTTTCTCCACATCCTTGTCTATACTTGTTATTGCCTGACTTTTTTATTACAGCATCCTAGTGGATGTGTGGAGGGATTTGCATTACCCTGATGGCTAATCAAGTTGAGCATCTTTTCATGTGCCTATTGGCCATCTATATATCTTTGGAGAAATGTCTATTCAAGTCCTTTGCCCATTTAAAAATTGAGTTATTGTATTTTTTGTTGGACACTTGGGAGCGGTCAGCAGGAGATGGAGAGTCATGACTCTGGATAGATAACCCCCTTGAGAGAGGGAGTGAAGAGGTCAAATCTGAGCCCTGGGGCACCCGGCATTTACAGACAGAGACTGGGGAGCCACCAGAGTGAAGTTTCCTGGGAACCAAGTAAAAGCGTTTGAAGAAGGAAGGAGTGATCAGCTATGCTGAGAGGTCAATACCAGGACTGAATTGACTGTTGTGTTTACCAATGTGGAGGTCACTTTGATAGGGTCAGTGCGGGTGGAGTAGCATTGAGTTCAAGAGAAATGGAGGAGAGAGATGGAGATAGTGAGTATAGATAGTTTAAAAAAAATATTTTTATTGATTTCAGAGAGGAAGGAAGAGGAGGGAGAGATAGAAACATCAATAATGAGAGAGAATCATTGATCAGCTGCCTCTTCCCTTCCCCCCACTGGGGATCGAGCCCACAACCGGGACATGTGCCCCAAGCAGGAATTGAACCGTGACCTGATTCACAGGTCGATGCCCAACCACTGACTGAGTCACACCGGACAGGCAAGTATAGATAGCTTTTTAAGGAATTTGCAAAAAGGTAAGGGAAAAATAAGGCAATAACTGAGGGGGAAGTAGAGTGAAGGAATAATGTTTGAAATGATGGGGGAAGTTAGGGCATCCTGGCCATGATGCAGGAGAAGAGGGGAGACCTGCTGGGGCAGTGCCCGTGAGCAGGCGCGAGAGAGGGACCTGTGCACAGGTGCAGAGCTGGGAACCCCCCTTTGTTCATAGTCACAGGAGAGGGGTACAGGGAGCAGGAGCCTGCGCGGTGATGTTGGCAGCTTGTGGCAGTGCTCTCTGGTGGCTTCTGTTTTCCCAGGAATATAGGTCACAGGATCATCAGGGGGGTCGAGGTGATAGTTTGAAGAGAGGGGGCGTAGGCCATGGGAACGAACCGGTCAGGTTTATTGACCCATCGACTGCGTGAGCTGCACAGTGTAGAGACCTGGTGTCTCTGTCGGCGGAAAAGGGAGTGTCACTACAGGATTTGGGGCACAGTATTATTACAGGTGGCGTTTAGGCAAAATTGACACGAAGCTTTGTTTTGATGGGCTCAGAGGCAAGCAGGGCTGTCTGTAAAGTGGTCACGTTCCGATCTGGATTGTAGAGTGGAGCCCAGGGTCTGGTTTCTGGGAGACTGCCAGGTTCACACCGATGCTCAGCGTCGCCTCCAGACAAGCGGACAGGGCCTGTGACCACAGCTGGGCTGCAGGACTTCCTGCAGCCGCTGCACCAGCCTGGGAATCAGGAGCCCGAGGGACACCCAGGCACAACGAGGGCCCCTGGGAAGATGGGCCGTTTGTACGATGGCATTGGTCTGAGTGCAGGGTTGTAATTTTCCGTAGCAGGCCTTTTGGCACGTGGTGGCAGGGTCCTTTGAAACCAGGGCCCGGGGCGCACCAGAGCACTGACTGTCCTGGTGTCCGGATGGAGACCTGAACTGGCAGAAGGAAGACGTACCTAGAAGGTAATGCTCCGTTCACAAGTGTCTCAGACCCCAGAAGTGCAGGGTCAGTCCTGTCACCGATGTGCCCCCTGCGTCCCAGAGCTGGTACTGACGCACCACATCCCTTGTCGAGGTATTGACACCGTTCATTCTCATTCAGAGTAGGGTCTGCCTCCAGCACCCTGAGTGTCCAGCACCTGATGTCCAGGGCCCTTCCCCCGCCTTCTCCCCTCCCAACCCTCCACCACCCAACAACTAAAGCTGTGATGCCCGCCCTCACCACAGCCCGCACACCGGCGCCAGGGCGTTCCTGTGGTGAGTGACCACGCCCTCAGCGGTTCCATAGTGTGAGGTCCATCTCTGCGTCACCCTCTCCATTCTCACCGCCACCATTCTAGCTACATACTCATTGGCTCTAATCCCGGCTCATTGCCCGTCCCTCGGCCTCAGTCCCTTCCACCCCAGATGCACCTTTCACGCCTGCTGAAGAGTAGCCTTTGCTGCTTAAAAGCATTAAGGAGCTTCTGAGTACCTTCCAGGGAACCTGCCAGCTCCTTTGCTGGGTTCAAGGGCATTGCAGCCCCTCCGATCACCCCAGCGAGTCCCCTACTGCTCTCCCTTGTCCAGCTTCTGTCCCAGCCCCACTGGGCGGACACCCCCAGTTTGCTGCTTTCATTTGACTAACTCGGCATTGAATATCAACTCGGTGCAAACACGGTGGGAGAGTCAGACAAAATCGGACGCACACTAACACCTCCCTTCTAATTGAATCTATAATAGAGGAGCCCAGACTGTGGTTTGTAATAAAAAATACTGACTATGAGAGCAGCTGACACTGAGCATTTAGTGTGAGCCTAGCGTTCAGTCCCTTCTTTCACCCTCACGATGACACCAAAGTGCAGGATCCTTGCGTATAAGAGGCCTAGAGGGTGTGCCACCGTCAGTCCCTCATCATCAAAACACCTTACGGAAAATGAAAGACAGCCGTTATTACTTGTTTCATCTTACGTTTCAGGAAATTACAGAGGATAACAACATGGAGATGAAGCCGCAGGATGGTAGAAGGAGTCCCCCCCACAGGGAGGTGCCCCCAGTCGTGGGGCTGCTGCTGGCCATGGCTGTCATGAACGCGCTCCTCTACCTCTGCCTCGATCACTTCTTCATCGCCCCCCGGCGTTCCGCCCTGGACCCCCGGCACTGTCCCTATGGCCACTTCAGAGTGGGGCAGATGAACAACTGCTCAGCATGGCTGTCCTGTGAGGAGCTGAGGACAGAAGTGAGGCAGCTGAAGCGTGTTGGGGAGGGAGCCGTGAAGAGAGTGAGTTCCTGATTAACCTGTGTTACCATCGCGGTGTTGATGGGTGGCCCTTTGGGAAAGCAACTTGGCATCCTGAGCCCAGTAACTGCACATCTAATAAAACAGTCTGGAGGAAGGAAAAAAGCCAAATGCTTAAAGAAGTGCTTTGCTTTGTTTTTGTGGGTTTTTATATTTTTATTGATTTCAGAGAAGAAGGGAGAGGGAACGAGATAGAAACATCAGTGATGAGAGAATCATTGATCAGCTGCCTTCTGCACAGTCCCCACTGGGGATCAAGCCTGCAGTCTGGGCATGTGCCCTGACCAGGAGTCAAACCATGACTTCCTGGTTCATAGGTCAATGCTCAACCACTGAGCCACGCCCGGCCGGGCTGCTTTGTTTTTGATAGTAATAGAAAACTAGAAATAGTAACTGCAGCAGTATGGTTAATTACGTTATGGTCCAACCACTTGATAGAATATTCTGTAACCATTAAATGTAGTTAGGAACCTGGGCAGCAACATGAAAAAAAGTTAGGATGAGAAGTAAAAAAAGCAAAATACAAAATTGTTGAATATACTGTATTCAACTGCAAAATCATGTATTTATGTAAAAAAATATAAAACTGGCCCTAACCAGTTTGGTTCAGTGGAGCTTTGGCCTGCTGACTTAAGTGTCCCAGTTTCGATTCCGGTCGGGGGCATGTACCTTGATCTGGGCACATCCCCAGTGGGGGGTGTGCGGGAGGCAGCTGATCGATTTTTCTCTCTCATTGATGTTTCTAACTCTCTATCCTCTCCCTTCCTCTCTGAGAAAATCAATAAAATATATATTTTTTAAAAATATATAAAAATGATAGAAATTGTGCTACAGTGAAGGATTGTGGGCAATATTTTCATTCTTACTATTCATACTGTATGATGGTATATTGATTTTTTTTAGGTTTTTAATTTTAATGAGAGAAGCCAAAGGGGTGAATTCAGTTCTCAGAGGCTTCAAGAGCCCTTGTCTTATCAGCAAGGAGTGTGTGCTGCATTTTGGTGGCCATCATTTCCATGGTAACCGAGGCTTACTGATAAAACAAAGAGCGACTCTGGAAGCCAGTTCAGGACTGTTGAACAAAGACAGGTCCTTTGTGAGGATGCGCTGAATGACTAGTGAAAGGGAAGGAGGGAGCAGAAAAATGCCTGAGGGGCTGCAGCTTGATAAAGTGCTGGTCTTTATTTTGGGAGATGGGGACCCCGGCTGCTGCTCCCATGAATGTGGAAAGGAGACGTCTTAAAGGAAGAAGTCAGTTAGACAGGGAGAAGGGACAGGCATTGATATAAAGTAGAACCATAAAACAAGGTAACTGGTTCTTTTAAAGATTCATTCATTCATTGTTGTGGCTGTTAGGGGTGAAACAGTGAAAGAAACAAAGATCCTTGAAGCTTGCTTTCTAGTTGGGGAGTCAGACAGTCAGGAAAATAAGGAACGGTGTGTATTGAAACATGTCCATGATGCGCTGTGAAGACAAAGCAGGGCGGGTGACAGGCTTGTTCCTCTAGGTGGCCGGAACCGCCCGAGAGTGAGCTGTGTGGATATTTGGGGAAAGGATGTTCCAGTGCAGAGGTGGGTACCAGCAGAGGGCCCAAGATAAACCCGCTTGGTTGTCTGGGGAGCAGGAAGGAGCCCGTGAGCCCAGGGGCAGGGTGAGGGGGAGAGGTAGCACACAGTCAGAGAGGGACCGGAGGTGGCCGGGCTAGGCCTGGCAGCTGAGAGATGGTCACAGCTTGACCAGCTGTTAGCAGTGGATGCAATGAGAACTATTGGATTCAGTCCTATTTTAAAGGTAGAGCCAATAGATTGGATGTGGGGTACAAGGGAAAGAGGGTGACTACCAGGCTCTTGGCCTGGGTAACAGGACAAATAGCGTCGTCATTACCTGATACGGAGAAGATGGGAAGGAGCAGACTGTGTGTGCGGGAGGCGGACATGGCGAGGCCGACTAGATGTCCACAGGAGATGTCATGCAGGCAGTTGGTTGGATGTCCGAGTCCAGCATTTGGGGGTCTTGGTTTGGGGAATGTGTATTTGGGATGGTATTGAAAGCATTCGGATGTGAAGAAATCACCACAAAAGGATTAAGTAGAGAAGAGGACATAGCAGTGAATTTGTCCCCTCCAAAGAGGTTCCCGCCAACTTGTTTTGTATTATTGGAATCACTTGGAACATTTTAAACTTTATTTTTTGGAATTGCTTTTTACCTCAGAGGGTATGTTTTTGAGTAGCTTTGATGGTGGCAAATCATTGTTGTATGAGGACAGACTTGATTTTAGGGAATTCTACACATCGTGCCCATCCAAATACGGGATTTAATAATGTGGGTACCAACCCCGAGGAATGTGTTTGTTTATTAGTGTGACTAAAGGCTGTTACATTTATTCTCTGTGTGCTTTTGGCCAAAACTTGCTCTCAGGGCAAAAGTACTCTGAGCACCGATGCTAGCGGGTTGGGGTCAGGAGCCTGTTCGTCTTGCCCCATCAGTGCCTGTGCAGGTCTGGCCCAGTGTAGACTCTCACTGCCCTCCAGAAAACCTTGAACCTCCAGCTCAGGTGTGGTTGGTCCCTGACTTTTCACGGCTCCTGCACGTCAGTTTTTCCCACTCAGAGGATCATTCCTATTGGTACACAAACACAAACTCTTTAAATAGAACTTTCATTCCCCTCTCTCTGTATTAAACCTGCCATAGCTCTGTCTCTCCTCCCTCATCTCCCCTTCCTTCCTCCTCCCTCATCTGAACAAGCCCTGAAGGAACAAGCTTCCTGCCTTTCCATACAGGTGGGCGCCCTCCTCACTGACACCCACACTGGGAGGGCACGGGTTTCTCAGTAGGAGTTTCTTTAACCAGAGTTCTTGACGCCCCACTCTCTGCCCCCCACCTCCTCCCTAGCACCCCTGCTTCAGTAATTCCTGTCTCATTTGGTCCATTGGTGTTACGTTTTCACTTTTCTTTTTTTTTTTTTTTTTTAATATATTTTATTGATTTTTTTACAGAGAGGGAGAGAGATAGAGAGTTAGAAACATTGATGAGAGAGAAACATCGATCAGCCGCCTCCTGCACATCTCCTACTGGGGATGTGCCCGCAACCCAGGTACATGCCCTTGACCGGAATCGAACCTGGGACCTTTCAGTCCGCAGGCCGACGCTCTGTCCACTGAGCCAAACCGGTTTCGGCACGTTTTCCCTTTCTGACACGCTCCTGCCTGCACTCCCTGATTTACCCAGCAGCGGAGGTCCCGTGGCCGTCATCCTCATCACCTTCCCTCACACACTTGCCACAACTCCCTTGCATCTCTCTCCATCGTGCCTTAACTGGAGAGCCCCAAACACGGCTGACCCACTACCCATCCGCACATAAGCACAGCTGTGTGGTTGAGCGCACGACCACAGATCTCATCTGTGCCCTCAGCACAGACCAGCTGGCTACTCTATTCCTTTAGTAACTTTTCCTTCCCAATCTCTGAGACAGATATTTCCTCAACACCCCAACCCCTGACTTAGCTGATGACCTTGTTACATGAGTTAGGGTGAAATAGAAGCCACCTAAAGGGAATTTCCTCATCTTCCCACCACTAGTCCTTGAACCTCCAGCTCAGGCGTGGTTGGTCCCTGACTCCTCACAACTTCCCTCGCTTCAGTCCCCCCCCCCCCCCCCCCCCCCCCCCCCCCGCATCATCAGTGTTTCCTGCTCTGAGGATCATTCCTACTGGCACACAAACATGTGCTTTGAATAAGGCCATCCTCTTCTCTTGATCCCCCTCCCTCTGTAGTAAAACTGCCACAGCTCTTCTACCTCTTCTCTCTTTCATGCTTCCGCCCTCTGTCCTGCGGCTTCCAAACTCCGCCATGGCTCTCACAGAGGCCAGTGCGCCTCGGGGTGGGCGTTCCTCCGTCTTCCTCTTGCTCCTTCTCGCAGTCCTGATCCAATTGACTCCTCTCTGCTTGCAGCCCTGGCTCTTCGCGCTGTGACGTGTTTTTCGTGTTCCTCCTCCCTCGCTGGCCACTCCTGATGACTCTCCTTTGCTGCTTCTGTTCCCCATCCTGCCTCCAAATCAGAGGGCACTTGGGGACGTTTAGCAACGAGTAGAGATACAATGAGTAGAGATACATTTGAGGTTGTCATAGTGGGGGCTATGGGGGTGCTGCTGGCATCCAGTGGGTGGAGTCCAGGGATGCTGCTAGTCATCCTCAACAAACAATATCTGGTCGAAAATGTCAGTGGTCCTGAGGCTGAGAATCCTGATTCCTTTTGGTTCCTTCCTGGACCTCTTCTTCTGTCTTCTTTAGATACACGTTTAGTTGATTTAATCTAGTGCCATTGCTTTAAATACAATTTATATGCTGGTGACTCCCAAATTTATATCTCCAGCCTGTACCCCTCCCCGGAGCCACAGATTTGTGTATCCAGCTATTTATTCCACACCTCTGCTTGGAGGGCTCTTGAGCATCGAAGTACATCCAGTTTGGCACTTGGTCATTTCCTGTTCTGAAACCTGTTCTTCCCCAGCCTTAAAATCGCAGAGAATGCCATCACCTCTCACCTAGTCGCTCGAGCCAAAACCTGGGAGTCACCTGGAGTCCTCTCACCCACATCCCAAACTTGTTTGATAACCTCCGTCCCCGGCCCATTTTAGTGAAGTCTGCATTAGCTCTTGCCTTGGAACTGGCATCCCTGCTTCCACTTTTGCCCTTCACCATGCACCAGGCAGAGCCACTTCCTAACACAATTCCGACCACGCCATTCTCTTCCTTAAAACCCCTTCAGTGGCTTCCCATTGCCCTGGGAGGGGCGGGGCGATACAAACCTCCTACCATGATCTGCTCCCTGCTACCCCCAAACTCACCCCCGACATCATCCTCACTCCCTCTACCCTGCACTTACCTACCTTTCTTTTTTTAAAATATATTTTCATTGAATTCAGAGAGGAAGGGAGAGAGAGAGAGAAATAGAAACATCAATGATGAGAGAGAATCATTGATTGGCTGCCTCTTGCAGCCCCGGGGTTCGAGCCCGCAACCCAGGCATGTGCCCTCGACTGGAATCAAACCCGGGACCCTTCAGTCCGCAGGCCGACGCTCTATCCACTGAACCAAACCAGCTGGGGCTCACCTACCTTTCTTTTGGTCCTTGATCAAACAGCCTTTCTCTCAGGGCCTTTGTAGTTGCTGTTCTCTGCCTGAAATCCTCTTCCTCCACCTCTGACATGGCTAGTTCCTGGTCATCCAGGTCTCAGCTCTGATGTCGCTTCTCTAAGCGGCTTTCCCTGACAGGTTGAGAACCGCTGGGCTACAGTGTTTGGACAGGTTCAAGCCTCGGACGAATGAGAGGGCACAGTCCTCTCATGGCCACGTGCAAGTCCCAACTTGGAGGGCAGGGCCCTCCCAGCACAATTATAGCCAACAGCTGTAGTTGTGAGCTTGAACCTATGGTCTGAACATGTGGTCCCATGTGCCTGAGTGATGTGGGCTTGATAGAGTTCAGGTGCATGTGATTGAGTAGGATCGAAACCCACAAGAATGTTGTAAACATCTTTGTCTCGTGGAATCTGGCTATAAAATAAAGACACAGCTTGTAGTCCGTGGCACTGTCTCTCTCCATCAGAGAGGACAGCGTCCCACCGAGACCCAGCTTTCATTCTCTTGTCTGTCTTTTCTCAATCCTTCACCGCCCCCACTCGGGCTCACTGAACCTGGCTGAGCTGACGCAGCACATAAGGCACCCAATGTGGGGCTGAGTATGCCATGGCCATGCCAGCCCACCACAGAAATGTAACTATAAGGCTATTTATTGTAACACTAGAGGCCCAGTGCATGAAATTCATGCACTGGTAGGGTCCCTAGTGGCTGTCGGCTGCTGGCCGGGGCCTCCCTCTCTTCCCATGGCTGCCAGCCCCGTCCCCTGGTTGAACTCTCGGACAAACTCCCAGTCTAGGGGACAATTTGCATACTATGCTTTTATTATGTAGGATTGTTGTTAAAAAGAAAAAAATGGGAAATAATTTAAATTTCCATCATGTCTTTAAAATCATGTTACAGGTCTCTGCAAAATTCTAGAGCTAGATGGGAAAGAGAACCCAATCCATTACATGGCTTTTTCTATTAGTGAATCGTCCTTCTCAGATCCAACAGAAATCTTCAGAGTCCTCTGGCCCACCTCCATTGGATATAATATTTGAGTTCTGTTAAAAAATGTCTTAAAATATGAAAGTAATATATATTCATTCTGGAAAAGATGGAAAATACCAAAAGGTGTAAAGAAAAAATATCACCCAGAATTGTACCATATGACTGCGAGCTGAAACATTAGCCTCTTTCTTTGATTTCTGTGTAATTTTATAGCCTGTTTTATTTGCAGCATACTTTTATCTGTGAAAACTCTATCAATGTATGCATTTTGTTGACCACATAATATTCTTTTAAGTGAACCTACCATAACTGAACTACTCCCTATTCTTTGATGGATGGATAGCTTCCAGTTTATGTTTTTGTAAATAATGCCAGATTTTTATTCCTACAACTTTTTATCTATTTTAAATTATTGTCTTAAATAGATATAGACTTAGATGTTAAAAGTTCTTGATAAATCATGTCCCAGATTTCTTTCTTACGTTCACAATGAAGAAGCAGAGTGCAGAGAGACACAGCCCACTGGGGGCAGTAGCAGCCTGGGGCAGGGATCAGGCCTTGGAGCTGTTCTCTCTTCTGCAGTCTTCTGCCTTTCCTTTGGGAATTTAAGGGGAAGATCAGAGGTTCTTAATTACAGCACTTCCTGCAAGCCTTGCCTACCTAATAATAATTGAGGATCTAAGGCAGTACCGAACAGTTTTCTGGAAGCTGTGAACCAGGGCAAGTCTGGTGTTTGTGGCATTTCCACTCCTACTTGTACAGCTGAAGTCACACAAACCCACAGACCATGTCAAAATGTTTACCTTACATAGAACTATTCCTATTTGTGGTTTACTGTGCTACCTTTTAAAATTAGTGCGTAATCTTGTTATGTGTGATGGGCTGGCTGGGCTCCCTGCCTGTGTAGGATTTTCCAGTCATCTCTTCTCCCCCTTTGTGCTGCAGTATTTTGGAACTGGTAGTCTGTTTGCCACTCAGTGCCTTACCGTACACACGCAGTCCCCTCTCCTGGGAATGCGTTTCCCGTGCTCACATCCACCCTGCAAGCCCTGGTCATCCTTACAGCAGGGGTGGGGAACCTTTTTTCAGCTAAGGGCCATTTGGATATTTATAACATCATTCACAGGCCATTCAAAATTATCAACTTAAAAATTAGCCAGCTATATTTGGTCAGACATTTAATTAACTCTCCCCTAATGCCTTGGCAGGGCCAGACCAAATGATTTCGCAGGCCTTATATGGCCCCAGGGCTGGACATTCCCCACCCCTGCTTTAGAGTAATTCCCAGGAGCCTTCCGGCACCCTCTCCGGATGGCCGGACGGATGGCCCCGCAGCACCCTGACCAGAGCCAGTCCTTCCACAGCCTCCCGCTAATAGGGCGCTTGCCTCGCTGGGTATCTTGTGTTTGCTCATAAGTGAGTCTTTATAACTAGACTAAGAGCAACCCTAGGGTCAGGTCTGTGTCTCATCAATTTCTGTATCCTCTGTACCACATCCAGTTCTTAAAGATATCTGTGGAGTTGTTTCCCGGCTCTCTAACCCAGGTGATGTGCTCTGGCTCTGTTTCAGGTCTTTCTGTCTGAGTGGAAGGAACGCAAAGTCGCTCTCTCACGGCTCACCAGTCTGGAGATGAAAGACGATTTCCTCCACGGACTGCAGATGCTGAAATCTCTGCAGAGCAAACATGTTGTCACGCTGCTTGGCTTCTGTGAAGATGACAACACTATTCTCACCGAGTATCACCCCTTAGGGTCCTTGAGCAGCCTGGAAGCGACGCTCAACCTTTCCAAGTACCAAGCTGTGAACACCTGGCAGCAGCGGCTGCAGCTGGCCATGGACTACGTGGGCATCATCCACTACCTGCACCACAGCCCCCTGGGCACGCGGGTCATGTGCGACTCCAACGACCTGCCCAAGACGCTGTCCCAGTACCTGCTGACCAGTAACTTCAGCATCGTGGTGAACGACCTGGACGCCCTGCCCCTGGTGAACCGCAGCGCCGGGGCGTTGGTGAAGTGCGGCCACAGGGAGCTTCACGGGGATTTCGTGGCTCCGGAGCAGCTGTGGCCCTATGGAGAGGACGTGCCTTTTCGTGACGATCTCATGCCCTCGTACGATGAGAAGATCGACATCTGGAAGATTCCCGATGTCTCCAGTTTCCTTTTGGGGCACGTCGAAGGGAGCGACATGGTCCGATTCCATTTGTTCGATATTCATAAGGCCTGTAAGAGCCAGACTCCTGCAGAGAGGCCCACCGCACAGGCCATTCTGGACACTTACCAGAAGGTTCTGAATTCACTCAGAGACACCGTGACGTCTCAGACCAGAGAAATGCTATGAAGACTAGTGCGGTCAGTGAGGGGTGCGAGTTAAGGAACAGCAGTTCTGCTCTGACAGTGAGCTTGCTGCTGTTCAGCCAGGTGGCTCCTCCTGTGTACCCACGTGCACATGTGAGCGGCTGCCTCTGCTGGCCACCGGGGCGGAAATTGCTAAGCCAGAGCAACCGACGTGATCTAAGTCTGGCTTCACTTCTAATGCTGACTGCTCCCAGGAGAAGATGCAGAGAAGCCGTGAATCTGACCTGTATCTGAAGGAAGTAACTACAGAAAGATGTAGCTTCAAAGAGCCTTTCCCTGACCGAGTAACTGAGTTTGTAAGCTTGTAAGAAAGGTAGATAGGGACGATTTTTAAATGGCAGTATATGAAAGAAGCATAGAGTAGTTCTCCAAGGAATTTTCTTTCCTCTGTTTTGGATGGTAATCAACATACCAGGTCCTGGGAGTATCCCTGGTCTGCTTCACTTTGTATGGGTGGGGCCACCCTTACTGTTTTAAGTGATTGTTCTGTGAAGCTCCAGTGCCATCCTCCTCCCTAGGAGCTTAAGGAGAACTATGATGGCATGCTCTTTGAAATTTGTTTTTTAATATATTTTTACAAGAGGCCCGGTGCACGAGTTTGTGTACAGGTGGGATCTTGCCAGCCAGCCCCAAACGGGGTGGGTGCGGCCAATTGGGGTTAGGACCAGGGGGAGGGGTCGCGGGCGGTTGGCTGGTTAACCCCACCCCCTGGTCAAACTTCTGGTTGAACGCCCATCGAGGAGACAATTTGCATATTAGCCTTTTATTATATAGGATTGATTTCAAAGAGAGAGAGAGAAACATCAGTGGTAAGAGAGTCATTGATCAGCTGCCTCCTGCACGTCCCACACTGGGGAACGAGCCAGCAACCTGGGCATATGCCCTGACCAGGAATTGAACCGTGACCTCCTGGATCATAGGTCAGTGCTCAACCACTGAGCCACGCCAGCTGGGCTGAAATTTTTAATCAATAAGGAATATTTATAACAACAACAATGAGGGAAATGACATGTGTTACTGCCTTGGATGGTAGTTGTGATATTCATGTTTACCTTCCTGCTGGGTTTTCTCTGTCGAAATTATTGTGAACATTTTACATCAACACTGTCACTCATGACTGGAAAGTGTCAAACCCTTTCACTTGAGTTGTATGATTGAAGCTTCAAAAAGCTCTTTCCTTGCTCACCATCATCATTTGCAGAGGATGATGGATTTGGTGCATATTAATCATCCCTAATAAGGTGGTTAAAGCTGACATGGAGGGGTGGGATCACTGGAATCACAGGGACCCCAGAGTCTCTGACTCAGAAGGTCTGGTGGGATAGAGTCCGAAACTTTGCATTTCTGACTGGTCCCCAGGGCAGTGACAACCACTGCCCCTAACTGTCAGACAGGGCACCACAGGCACTGATACGGAAGTAGTATCAGTCTTACCCCCTAGTCTACTGCCTGTGGTTGACTGGGTCCTCTGGTTGATCAGAGAATGTGCTTGTCCACCGTATTGTTCTAACTGCTGCTTTTTGTTATAAAAACTCTGCCACAACCCACTAGGAGGGCTGTAATCAAAAGGATGGACAATTACAAGTGTTAGTGAGGATGTGAAGAACTGAAACCCTCAGACATTGCCAGTGGGAAAGTAAAATCGTGCAGCCACTTTGGAAAACAGTCTGGCACTTTTTAGAAAGTTCAAAATAGAATTACTGTGACCCAGCAATTCCGCTCCCAAGTATTTACCCAAGTGAACTGAAAACAGATCCACACAAAGAAGACCTCACATTCAACATTTCCCAAATAACTCTTCTCTGAGCCAGATTTGCTGCTTGTTTCCTACGTCTGTAAGTGGCACACTACCCATCTGATTTTCCAAGGCAAAAACCTAGTTTATATATAATAAAATGCAACCAGTTTAAGTATGTATTTCAATGAGTTTTGATATATTTATCTACTCATGTCACCACCCCTACAGATAAAACATTCCCCTCCTAGAATTTCCCATGTGTCCCGCCCCCTCCCCCCTTCAGTCCTTTCCCAACTGCTGGCCTCAGGCAATGACTCTGCTTGCTTTTTAGAAAGATTAGAATTTTCTCCCAAATATCATAATTGGAACCATACAGTGTGGTATAAACATTTTTGTACCTTTTTTATTCATTGCAGTGGTTTTGAAATCCATCCATATTGTTTACATCAGTAATTTATATCTTTTTATTGGTAAGTAATATTCCATTATATGTATGTTCATCAGCCATCTGCTGATGGACACGGGGCTGTTTCTAGGTTGGGGCTATTATGAAATAAACTGCTGTTACCATTTAAATACAATTCTTTTGGGTAAATACCTAGGAGTATTCCTATGATCACATTTAAGTATATGTTTAACTTTATAAGAAACTTCTAAACTGTTTTTCAAAGCATCTGTACCATGTTCCAATAGCAGTGTTCAAGAGTTCCATTTGCTCCACACTCCTAGCCTACACTTGTTATTATCAGCTAATTTAATTTTAGCAATGCTAGTGGGTGTGTAGTGCCATCTCACTGTAGTTTTTATTTGCATTTTCCCAAAGATAAATGATGCTGAGAACCTTTTTATGTTTATTGGCCATTCACATCTCTGGTGAAGAGTCCAAATCTTTTGCCCATTTTAAAATAATTTGCTTATTTTTAAATTGTTAGAGTTCATTGTGTAACCTGGAATTAAGTCTGTTACTAGATATATCTTTTGCAAATCTTTTCTCACAGCCAGAGGCTTGCCTTTTCATTTTCTTAACTATGTTTTGTTTAAGTTTGTGTTTTAAAATGGTTTAGCCCTAGCCAGTTTGGCTCAATGGATAGAGCATCTGCCCATGGACCAAAGGGTCCCAGGTTCAGTTCCAGTCAAGGGCACATACTTAGGTTGCAGGCTCAATCCCCGGCCCTGGGTGGGAGCAGGAGGCAACCAATTGATGTGTCTCTCTCACATCAATGTTTCTCTTTCTCTGTCTCTCCCTCTCCCTTCCACTGTCTAAAAAATCAATGGAAAAAATATCCTTGGGTGAGGATTAACAGAAAATAAAATAGTTTATATATTATTTAAGAAAGTCATGAAGGTTTTCTCCTTTATTTTCTTCCAGGAGTTTTATAGTTTTAGCTTTTACATTGAGGTCCATATTTCATTTCTAGTTCAGTTGTGTATATGCTAGGGTTAAAGTTCACTTTTTCCTGCACGTAGCATCATTTATTGAAATGATTGTTTTAGCATCATTTATTGAAAACATTATTTCCCCCATTAAATTGCTTTGGTAACTTGGTGAAAAACCAGTACTGTGTGTTTACTTTTAGGCTCTCTCTATCTTGTTCTGTTGATCTATATTATTACCTTATGCTGATAACACACTATCTTGATTACTATAGCTTTATAGTAAATCTTGAACTCAGTGCAAGACCTACAATTCTGTTGTTCTTTTTCAAAATCATTTTACATTTCCATATAAATTTTAGAATCAGTTGTCAATTTCTACACACACACACACACACACACACACACAAACACATATACACACACAAGAAGTAACCTACTGGGATTTTTTTTTTTTTTTGATTGCACTCTATATAGATCAGTTTGGGGAAAACTGGCATTTTAACAGTAATGGTTCTTCTATGAACATGGTATATCTCTCCAACTATTTAGGTCTTCTTTAATTTCTCTCAGTCATGTTTTGTAGTTTTTAGTGTTCAGGTCTTATACCTGTTTTGTTAAAGTTATTTAAGTATTAATTTTTAAAAATTCTATTGTAAATGCTATTTTTAAAAAGTCAAGTTCCAATTTTGTTTACATCTTGATATGAAAATACAATTGATTTTTGTATATTGACTTTGAATTCTGTGACCTTGTTAAATTCACTTACAAATTCTGGTAATTTCGGTGTGTGTGTGTGGAAGATTCCTTAAGAGTTTCCACACATACATTTATTCATACCATATTTGAATAAAGCCAATTTGTATGCTTTTTTCCTTTCTTCTCCTTGCCTTCTTGCACTGACCAGGACCCCAGGGCAATGCTGAGTAGAAATGATGTGTGCGATTATCCTTGCCTTGTTCCTGATGGAAGGGGGAAACATTTAGTTTTTTAAGTGTCATGTTAGCTGTAAGTTTAGCGTTTATCTTTCCATTATGTGTCATTACACTTTTATTACATGTGCATTTATCCCTAATCAACATATAGTGTTGTTCTTGGCTTTACACTTTCCATATAAGTTACTACAAAGGCATTTCTGCAACTTGCATTTCTCCCTCTGCCTTATTTTGAGATTCATCCATTTCAATACATGTAACTCTAGGTCATTAATACTGCTGTATATATACCACAACTTATCCATTTCCTCTACTGATGAATATTTAGATTATCTACAGGTTTTTGCGATTATAACTGTGGACGAAAGGGGCCACACGCTGACCTGACAAGCTCAGGAGAGGCCTGCATGGCAGTTTTGCAGACTCGGAGACCTAAAGTAACCACAAAGGATGGTCTGAAATTAAACCTTAACTAAAAGCAGTTATGGTGGGCAGTTACGTCCTAAGCCAATATCTTCACTGATAAGGTCAACCTTTACTGTAACTGAGCCTATCTGTGTTTTTGCATCTATGATAACATACCCTTGAAATGTCTGGGTAACTTGTGATTTCCCTGTATCTGGAGCCCCTGGGGCACAACCAGGTGTGCTAAGCCCAGGACAGATGCAGCAGATTCTTTCATTTATCATGTTAATTGTTCCTGCACCCACCTAAGTATGTGTCCATCATTTTACTTTTTATCCTATCACAGAGGTTTCCCCCACTTCGCTTAATCCCACCTCCTTAAATGTGTCACCAATGAATTTCATGTATAAATACGGATGTAACCCTGCCATTCTCCGGAGCACTATCTCAATTCGTTGAGGTTCTGCTTCCCGGCATATGTCGACAGTTTGGCTCAAATAAACTCACAAAAATTCTTTACAGGTTTCAGAGGTTTTTTTACGTTAACATAACGCATTCTGCTACAAGTGTTATCGTACATGTCCCTTTATAGGTATGGTAGTTTCTCCAGTCGTATGGCTGCGAGTGCAGCTGCGGGGTCCTCGTGTCTGCTCGCCTTGAACTTTATCAGAGATTGCCAAAGAGCTCTTCAAAGGGGTGGTACAAGATGGCCTTTTAAGTCTCATCTCTCTCTGGATAGTGAATGCCTGGGGCCTGGGGCTCCGCCGGTCTGACTTACCATGCCATTTCCAGAACAGTGGCCAGAAGACACCAACACCCATTTGTGTATTGAAGAACCAGACGCAGGAATTTAACAGAATGTCTCTCAGGAGGGTGATCCGAGAAGGGCGTAGTGGCTTGTGGCCTGCGGGAGGCCTCTCTTCTGGATGTTTCTCCGGAACAAAAAGCAGTGCGCAGCCCTAACCGGTTTGGCTCAGTGGATAGAGCGACGGCCTGCGGACTGAAGGGTGCCAGGTTTGATTCCGGTCAAGGGCATGTACCTTGGATGTGGGCACGTCCCCAGTAGGAGGTGTGCAGGAGGCAGCTGATCGATGTTTCTCTCTCATCGATGTTGCTAACTCTCTATCCCTCTCCCTTCCTCTCTGTAAAAAATCAATAAAATATATTTTTTTAAAAAGCAGTGCGCAACCTGGAGACAATCCTGGTCCTTTGCTGAGGTCCTTTACAGAGTAAGCTTCCCAGAGCGCGGGCCCAGCGTGGCCCGGCCCCTCGGACCTTCCCACACCGGCCGGCCCCGCCCCGCCCCGCACGCCCCGCCCCCGGCTCCCGCACGCCCCGCCCCC